AATATATATATATATATATATATATATAAACGCACGCACAAAACCACATGCACAAAGATCAGAAGATAATTGGATAAGTGTCCAATCGAAATCCCGGAAGTAACCCATAAGATGTAAGTTGCTCACTACATCTCTTTAAATTAACAGCTTAGCTTATGCCAGGATCAATCAATATTTGTAGCCATTGAAGAAGGGCTTGTCATTTACTTTAGTGCTTCAAAATCCTTACCAGCCATTTTACCGCAATAAAAGAAAGACAGTAACTATTGCGGAACGAATGGAAATCAGCATGTGGTGTTTTTCATGAGCAATGAGTCTCGCTTATAGGTTTAATGAAATTAAAAGCGTAAATGGACTCTAAGGAAACAGAGGAGGTTTGATGAAACAGTGATGGGGAATAAAAAAAAGTATTCTATGGACTACTTTTTGAAAAAAAGGGATCAGCAGTGAAGAGCAGAATAAATCGTTCGTTACATAAAATCTACACCGGCCAAAAAGGAACACAGGGATGATATTTTCATATATTTCACATTTCAGAACGTATGCTTGTGTCTTTCTATAGACACAGACAACGATTATCACTGATTATCAAAGGCAACGAATAGTGCGCCAACTGTTATTACTGCATGAGTAATTTCATCTCAGTCCAAAAATGATGCGGTAAAAGAACACGGTACAAACGTGAAATATTTGTGCGTTGATAAAGTTATTGGAATTAAGTTGGAAATGCGAAGGTGGAAGAAAGATAAGAAAATAGAAAAAAAACCAATAAGCCTATATTGTTTGATCTTTAGGGCCTTAAGTGTAAAACGATATGTGCACATGTTAAGTATAATTTACGCATTGAAATGTTTTTGGTCCTAATAATAGTGCTCGGTAAACTAAATCAGCGTATCATGTTTTCTATTTCTAGGTTTTCTCCGCCACAGGCTCGACCATACTCCATCTATGCTCTCACGCATCTGAGGGATGACGTTGTGACAAAAGTATAACATTGTGTAAAAATCCACAGAATTTCTCTTACTCATAGTTTCCAAATTTATGAACAGACATTGCTTTCCGAAGAGAAATGATAAAAGGAAGCGTACCAGAGTGGACAGAAATGGACTCAGGCAAAATAGAGAATATTAATACACGGTAGGAAATTTGGCCTAATAGTCGGATTAACGCTAATGGTGGATAAATTAGATGCTTGAAAACCCGAGTGAATGGCAATATGTAAGATGCATGCTGAGAACGAACAAGAATAAACAAAAGTTCATACATTCCCACTTTTCAATTACTTTTTTTCTTCCATTATTCTTCATCTGTTGTTAATTTTGTGAAGAAAAGTTGAATTTTGAAAATCCGAAAAACTTTTGGGATATCGAAATTTCTTGTAATTTAAAAAAATTAAATGTGGAACTCAAGTCTAGAAAAAAAATAATCATTATTCCATTATCTTTTTATAAAATATAAAGACCAACGATGGCGGGGAAAGAAAAGCTAATTCAAATATTATCATTACTCATACGCCGTAAACAAGAGAAAGTTGTAATATTAAATAAAAAACGCTGCCTTAGCCAATTGTAGATATAAATACATATTAGTTAGTATAGTCGTTTTCCTGTTAGTGCAAGAAAGTTGTGAAGAACTTTTGTTTGTGCATGGAACTGTGCGCATTTTGTGGTGTAAAGTAGTGTACTGAAGCTCTGGGTATTTCCTCAGAATGTTTCTCAGAGCAATGAATGATTAATGAACCAACTTGTCGTTGCGATTTCAGAATATTCTGAGTCAGTCCACATATCTGGTGCCGTGTACAGTCGTAATTTAAAACGATACGATGTTGCTGGCTTGAGTGGCCCATTACAAATAGTGTCAACTTCGATATTACTGCAGGTACTGTCCACACCTATTACCTGGAATTTTTTTAAGGTTGCTTGCTCAATCTTACGATTCTGCCAGGATGCATAAGCTTTTTGATTTTATCAAGCTTATAACACATGTTGAGCACAACCATTCCAAACCTACCTCTTGACCTAATCATTTCTTTTGGGTTAAGTTTTATTAAATTAAGATAAGTTCAACAAATCTTCAGTAAATCCTTCATGAGCATTTTATCGTGATGTGAAAATGATAACGTTGAATGGTCACATCCCACTGGAAGTTTTTAGATAGTCAAAAAAAAAACTACCAAAGGTTAATTAACCAAGCGATCCTACTTTATCAGCGGATAATTGTGGAAATGATTAGGCAAACAGCACTGGATGATCCTTACATATTACTTCAGTAACACCACCACCGCGCACTGCACCGAACGAGTAGACAAGGAGTGCACTGATTTTGGCTTCTCTTTTAATAATAATTTGAAAATGATTAAGATGAAATGCTTAGGACTAAAGTGTTTTGTTGGAGGGCACTGAGACAGTTATCTAACCGCTCGGTTAAGAACTTCATCACAGATGACGCAAAGGAGATGTTTATCATATCTGTGTGAAAATTTGAAATTTGTGCCTTTCTCTAATCTTAATTTTATTTAAATGATTTACAGGATTAAAATTTGCGTGGAGAGTAGAAATAGTTAGGTAACCATGTAGTTTTAATAAAATTTGATTCGTGAATAAACATATTTATGTCATACTTCAGAAACAAAGTGAGGCGGAAAGAATTTTCGGAGCGGTTCAATCATTGTTTCAATCGCAACGTATGCTGGCCACAAATCGAATCTCTGCACTTGGCTCCATGTCTGAAAATACCCACATAGCTGAATTAGATTTTAAACCAACCAATTTATTCAGCAAAAATGGTAGCATAACAAAGAGTGTGAATAATATCTGAGTTGCATTAAATAAAGCCCAAAGAAAAAATATTATGGGACAGTTGATAAACAAGAAACAACTAATTAAACAGGTGAATAAGTAAGAAGGGTTAATAACTTGTGAAATGCAAATTTAAATAACGAAAATCTTACAAGTGTTTTGTTTTGATTGTCTATAATAGAGTTGATTATATTTTCATTGTTATTGTTAACTTCAGCAACAATTAGAGCAGACTTCTTCAGATATCCGTGCTTGGCGTTGAACATCGATGTGCTATATCGTATTCCCAAATCGGTGCTATGAATTGTGTTGTACACTATTTCAATGCCTGATGAAGGACGTGGAGGAGCTGAAATATCTCATCTCTAACTATTTACAACGATCTCTTTAAAAGTGCAAAATAATCTGATTTAAAAATTTCGAAACAAAATAGTGCAGAAAGATAAAATCTTTTGATTCTGAAAAGTGGAACTCTCTTCATTGTTACAGCTGTAATGTTTATAATACGACCCTAAAGATGGTTGCATAATTTGTGATTATTATAGGGTCATAATATATATCTTCTGTGAAATTATTAAATTAAATTTAACTGGTTTGAAAAATGATGAAAAAAAAAGAGAAGACTAACGTAAAATGGGCATTTCTACGTGTACAGCATCAGATGCAGCACTAAAATCACCGGCACCAGCTTCCGTAACAGCTCGAACATCCATCCGATACCTTAAGCCACCAAGTAAGTTATCCACAACTGCTTCAATCGGCTGCTGTTTATTGTTATTATTGGTGTCATGAAAGGACAACAATGACGGATGCGCTCCAGCACCAACACTCACTGACCAATCACTTTCTTGGTCGTCTTCCTATTTTATAGTATAAGTGTTTACTAAAGATATATCTATTTGACATTTAAACTATAACCCAAAATCGTCAATAGAAATACATAAAATTGAAAAGGCAAACGAACCCTAAAGCGCCACATCTGCACTATTGGTTATATAGTCGGTGATAAATAATGTTTTCCAATTTATTTAAAAATGTAGGAAGAAGTGTTCACTGTTAACTTGAAGTTCATCAGTGATTCAAAGTTTGTTGCATGTAAAATGGTTTGAAGAAGGGGAAGATTGTGAGGAAGGTCAAATCAGTTTGGCGACCTTCCGCTCACAGTAGCACTAGTACAAGAACTGCGACGTTCATTGAAAAAGTGCGAATGAATTTGGATGATGTAAAGAGAAGGAGTGAGGAAGAGAGGAAGTGGACAGGTTGCATGCACTGAGTAAATTAATATGCAAACAGTAACAATCATGAAAATAAGGAAAGAGGTGGCAATGACTATTTAATAAGCAAAGCGTTTCTTCAGTAACGGTACTCGATATTTAAAAATTACAAAATGGACTGTTTGACAGTTTCGAGATTATCAGAATATCTTGAAGTGTTTCACTGTGGTAGAAAAAAATGACTGGAACATGATAGACGAAAGACGTCAATGGTAAAGAAAAAAAATGATAAAAAGAGAAGGGCCAAAGATAGAGGAAAAGAAACAGGGAAGGGAAGGAGAGAAAGGATACAATGGGAAGGGACAGGCAAATATTCTGAGAAATGCTTTCCCTTCCTTCAGTGCAAAAATTTCAACTAAAAATTTACATCTCTGAAAGGAAGCACAGTACGTGGAAGAGAACCTGTTTTCTAGGTCAAACGATAAATCTTTACTTACCTATTTTCTCGATGATAGGTGCATCTCCTTCCTCAAACATAATGTATTATAAGAATTTACTGCCGGATAATTTTCCTTCCCAAAACTAGAGACTGGAAGGCATAAATGAATAATCAAAATTGGCGCTAAATGAGCTATTGTTTCACGCAATTATCATGAAGGAAAATCCATAACCTATTTTCCATGTGTCCAGTACATATTGTTTTTACACTGGAATTACTGGAAGGTAAGCTGAAGAGCTTTTCACTAAAATGCAGAAAATAAAACATCCTTACTGCTTTTTTGTATCATCGAGGGTTTTCACAGGTTCCACCTTAACTATTTGTTTTTTCATCTGCATGAATAATCATAATTGTAGTGCCTAACTTCATTTTACAGAAATAGATTCTCAGGAGTTGAAATTTTAGACAATCATTTGTCCTCAACTTTCGATTTATAGGCTGTTCTCTTTTTTGGTTTGTCAAGCAATCATTTGCACACTCATCAATATCTAGAATCTATTTCAGTAAATTATATTTTACTGGAAAAAAAGAAAAAAGAACTAGGAATCACTTCGAATTAAAAAAATTGAAAAAAACAAACCATAGAATGTATGCCAATGATATAATGCGTGATAATGCCATTTGGCAAAGATGGCGGTAGCCAAAATAATTGCACACTATATGGATTCAATATGCGCACCATTAGATTCCGTACTGGTCCCGGT